TGGCGATCGACCCAATCCAAGTCAAGTTCAACATAGGGATAGATTCTTGTGTTAATACTATATGTCAACAGATGGTTAAATGTTAACTTTCCCCTGGAAGGTATACGGTTATATGTAAACATTTCCCACTAAATCTTGGCAACATGTTAACATTTACTAGATACATCATGGTGGTACGTCAACTTCCCGTTAGACATTTACAGGTTAACAATTTTCAGGTTAAACTTGAGATGTGTCAACGTTTCTCAGGTATATAGTGGTAGTATGTCTATGTTGTCAACATATTCAAGTAAGATGTTTGATGTCATCACCTTTAGCTAATGTGTACACATAATTTGTCAACATCTCCAAGCAGATACTTGTAATTTGTCAATATTTATAAGTACAAATACCAGTATTTTGTCAACATTTTCTGGTAGCAACTGATGTCCTGTGAATATTTCCAAGCAGATACAAAACTAGTTACCTGTTTATGTTTATCTTTTATAGAATTTTGTATTATGTCAACATTTCCTAGTATGTACTTGTACCATGTCAACATTTCCTGGTATGTACTTGTAACATGTCAACATTTCCTGGTATGTACTGGTACTGTCAACATTACCAGGTATGTACTTTTACCATGTCAACATTACCAGGTATGTACTGGTACTATGTCAACATTACCAGGTATGTACTTGTACCATGTCAACATATCAGGTATGTACTGGTACTATCAACATTACCAGGTATGTACTTGTACCATGTCAACATATCAGGTATGTACTGGTACTATCAACATTACCAGGTATGTACTGGTACTATGTCAACATTACCAGGTTTGTACTGGTACTATCAACATTACCAGGTATGTACTGGTGCTATCAACATTACCAGGTATGTACTTGTACTGTCAACATTACCAGATATGTACTTGTACTGTCAACATTACCAGGTATGTACTGGCACTATGTCAACATTACCAGGTATGTCCTGGTACTATCAACATTACCAGGTATGTTCTTGTACCATGTCAACATATCAGGTATGTACTGGTACTATCAACATTCCCAGGTATGTACTGGTACTATGTCAACATTTCCAGGTATGTACTGGTTCTATCATCATTACCAGGTATGTACTTGTACCATGTCAATATTTCCTAGTATGTACTTGTACCATGTCAACATGACCAGGTATGTACTTGTACCATGTCAACATTACCAGGTATGTACTTGTACCATGTCAACATTTCCTGGTATGTACTGGTACTATCAACATTACTAGGTATGTACTGGTACTGTGTCAACATTACTAGGTATGTACTTGTGTCAACATTACCAGGTATGTACTTGTACCATGTCAATATTTCCTAGTATGTACTTGTACCATGTCAACATTACCAGGTATGTACTTGTACCGTGTCAACATTTCCTGGTATGTACTTGTACCATGTCAAAATAACCAGGTATGTACTTGTACCATGTCAACATTACTAGGTATGTACTGGTACTATCAACATTACCAGGTATGTACTTGTACCATGTCAACATTACTAGGTATGTACTGGTACTATCAACATTACCAGGTATGTACTTGTACCATGTCAACATTACCAGGTATGTACTTGTACCATGTTAACATTTCCTGTTATGTACTTGTACCATGTCAACATTACCAGGTATGTACTTGTACCATGTCAACATTACTAGGTATGTACTGGTACTATGTCAACATTACCAGGTATGTACTGGTACTATCAACATTACCAGGTATGTACTTGTACCATGTCAACATTACCAGGTATGTACTTGTACCATGTCAACATTACCAGGTATGTACTTGTACCATGCCAACATTACCAGGTATGTACTGGTACTGTCAACATTACCAGGTATGTACTGGTACTGTCAACATTACCAGGTATGTACTGGTAC